GTTTATTTTGTTTTTGTGTTCGCTCGGGTGGGGGGGGGGGGGGGATACAGTTTTAAAAACTGATACTTGGAGATGCAGACACAACAAAATATTGTTCTAAAATAGGTGCATGGGCTGCTTAATCTCAGTACTCATCTACTGTCTTGTTTTGTGAGATCATTGTCAAAGAAAACATGAACAAATGGCTATATATGTAACCCTGTAGAAGAATGTACCACTGAACATGTCTGGTTTTGTGATCTTGAAGTTCCATTATTGTAAATATTCCTTACAGTGGCTGACACTTTGGTTTTTCAGTTTTTTCCTCTGTACTGAAAGTCACTGGAGGAGATCTGCTATGATTCATGCCATAATCAAGAGCATTCATTGAGCTGCACACTAAAATGCTTTGGCATGTTGAATAATAGAAGCCCAGAAACTTTGTGAACTATCCCACATCTGTGACACAAGCCCAGATATACAATGACTTAGAGAGAAGGGGTAATGTGGGGAAAAATTCATATTTTAAAACAGTGTGGGATTTGCATGTTACATTAATTCATAAGTTTTATTTCTGTAATTATTACCTTAGTGGGCAACTTTTTGCCTACTTTTAAATTATTTTTCATTTTTAAGAAAGCCTATCTGGAAACTAGTTTTTAACATATCAGCTGTGTTTTGTTTAAAGATCAGGCATCCTCTGCCATTGTTTAAGTAGCCTTGTTTTCAGACTGATGTCTTGTTCCTTCCCTCAAGTACACTTTACTAGGAAACAGTCTCTGATTGCAGGCAAGATAGGTTGAATACTGATCATGTGATCCAACTTGAAATGTAGCTTGATAGATCCATTTTACAATGATTCCTACTGCTGTGAAAAAATTCTGTCTCTGAGAATAGCAAATAAAAATTGTCCCCAACAGTATCTGTCCCTTCTTAGTCTCAAAAGAAGTCTTGTGGTATTAGAGATGTAGTCATTCGGTACATTTGTAGACTCTATGAAGCATATTTTTTAATAGCTGTAGACTAAGTATAACAATACTGTTCCCCTATCCTTCTGTTCCCCAGTTTACTACTTCTGTCCTGTCTACTGTGTGTCCATCTGTTTAATAAATTAATTGATTTTAGAAGGGTGAGTCTGGTAACTTTTGCCAGTGCTAAATTCACAAGTTTACATAATGAAGGAGAATATTAGTGCTCTTAGGAAAGAATTAATTTATATAGTCCTGAGGACCAAATTCATACGTGCAGGACAAATATACGGGTAATATATGGGAGATCGAAAAAAAGGAAACAAAGATTCTGAACATGCCTCTCCCCAAGTATAATAATACAAGAATGTGCAATAGTGAAGTAATGTGTGAGTGTGACATTGCAGAGCTGTGGTATGGTTTTTGTTGTTGTGCTGGTAGCAGAAGAGTTAGCACGTTAGAGTGCTTGATTTCTTCCAGAACTTGCTTGTGCGGTAGGTCACAGCAGACTTCCTTTGAGTACTTGGGATTTGAGTCTTCGTAGGATTCTAGATTGTTACAGTACAATGTGGGATGAGGACAGAAGAATGAACACGTGGATTAAGGCTTGTATGAACCAACTTAACTTGTCACTTTCTCATGTAGATGGAGGGCAGGTGAATGTGACAAACCATGCAATATATTTGACCCAGGCTAGGTATTCGTTTCTGAAAATCAGTAATGTGTTTTTTGAACACTTTAAATACAAATTTAAAAAATGCTTCTGATTCTCTGAGCATCAATGCTATTTGGGGAGAAGGTGTCTGTACAAAGGCCGGCATTGTGGAAGTAGCAGCTTTTGTGAGAGCACAGAAGGAAGCATCAAAACCCAAATGACTCATCTTTCAATGTTGTATCGATTGAGATGGATTTGAAGAAATTGAAGGCTTTTTGGGAAGAAAAAAAGAAAACAACCCCAAAACAAAAAAAGAAAACGCACATTACAAAAACTGACTGTTTTAGTAGTGCCCTCTTAGGGTGTCATGAAGCCTTTCTCCCTCTTTGTCCTTGCGGTATTGGATAATACACATTTCCAACAGATGGCTCTTAAAAATGACTCAGAAAGGATATTCCAGCTTCTCCTCTCCTAATTTTCAGATCTTTTTCATGTGAGAGTACTGAAAAGCTTTTGCTAGAAACAAAGTTCCTAAGCACCATGGATGAAGCTCTCCAGACAATTAAAATACTGATAAACAGGCAATGGTATGCAGATTTTGTGGGGGACAGTTGACATCTGTGGTGCCTGTAATAGAATAGGGAAATAGGCAGGGCATGGACTACTGTAGAGCTACTATATAATTGGGTGTTTGTGTCTTGATCTTGATTAGTTATTGTGTGTGCCTGTTTGTTTCTTGATGCTTTTAGAACACTAGCGAAACTAGAATAATTATTTCCTTTTTGTGTGCCTGTGTATGTGAACTGTAAACTGAATCTGTTCAACATAATCCCGTAGTCTGCTATGATTGTAGTTATGTAGAAGTTACCAGATAAACAGAATTGAGCAATGTTGGTCATGTTTCAAGCAAACTTCTTTGGAGAATGTTCTATTGACCACCTCAGCTTTAGCAACAAACCTCTGGCACGTTAATTTTAGAACTTCTTGTAGCGGAGGTATGTCAATGTTAATATGATTAAGTAACCAACTTGTTTTGAAGATGGATTCTTGAGAGGCCTTTCCTGTCTTAATTTTTTTTTTTTTAAATTATTTTATGGCAATCGGTAATTACACATAAATTTGTATTTAGGAGCAGAAAGTACTTATCTGACTGGTACATTCCAGATGGATCATACAGTAATCCTTGTGTGCGGCCCACATGAGATTGGCAGAGTGTCAGCATGAGAAGGGGCAGAGAGAGTGAAAAAGAGATTTATGAAGGTCTGAGTGATTTAATCTAGGATTCCAAATCAGCTTAATCCTTCCAAGTACTCGCTACATCAAGTCCATATGTGAAAATGAATGAATTCTGAGATTTTTTTTTTTAATGAAGTGAATGGATGCTTTTTATAGCGTGGTGTTCTGTGTGTGTGTTTCAGCATGAGCATGGAAACATACTGCAGCTCATCCTCTAGTGAAAAGAAAACTATGCTTTGTCTGATTTTATAACCACACGGCATCCAGCATTTCAGGCATAAAGAGTTTTGACCTTCAAGTTAGTGGCTAAAAGTCAGAAAAACGGGAGAAGTTCCTTCTCGCCTCTGTCCCTGAATCATGATATGTACTCTTGACTTTGTATTTATTGCTTTCAATTAGAAATTGAAAACAAAAGAATAATAAAGCTCAAATTGTTTCTTAACTTGTTGCTGAAAAGTTTAACCCGTATTTTGCTGCTGTGGGTAAGTGACCAGAGCAATCAATCATGTGTTGTGCTGATGTTCAGTTATATCATATGCATAAGGTGTAGTTTACCTGTTGAAAGCTAGACTGTTCTACAGTTTCAGTTTTTTCACTGGTGATTTAAACTGTAATACAATTTCTGTATTCGTTTATGTATATATTTATTAAAGATGAAAGTCAACTTGATCCGTAAACATACTGTCTGTTATAATGCAACTTGCTTCTATGTTTTTGCCTTGTTCACAGAAAACCAAATTAACACCTTCTGAAAATACATGTACATGGTTAATTAAATCTGGTGGAAATAAGTCGGTGAGAAGCTCTCCTTCCAGCCACTTAGAATGATTTCTGACAGGATTTTTTTTCTAAGCTGTTTCTAGTGTGGGTTCTTGATTTAATGGAGTGTAGCAAACTTCCTCGTTAGCAGCTAACACAGATAAAGGATGTGAAAAGCCTGCCTTTCCTCCTTCCCCCCCCCCCATTTTCTTTCTTGGTGAAAAAAGTATGAAGCCAGTTTTGGTTTTTGGTTTTTTTGGGGTTTTGGTTTTTTTTTTTTTTTTGCATAATAAAGAGTAAAAGCTTTATGATTACATACCAGATGGTGGATGTCTTGATATGACTTTTATTCCCTAAAATTTGTGAATTCCACAGTGTCTTAGAAAAATCGGTACTCTCTACATTTTCTGTATTTCAGTCACAGTGCCATGTAGACAGGATTGTAGTAGTGGGTAAATGTAGACTTAAACTCATGTATTTGTGTTAATTTTTCTTTCTCCCCCCCCAGAATCAGATTAGTGACTTAAGTATAATATCAAGTTCTGGAATGCAACAAAATGCAAATCCTTCAAAGCCAGAAAGCACAGAGCCTTCAGAACAAAAAACTTCAGTACAAGTGCAAGAGCAGGTATGTTTCATCCAACCCTAAATAAGGCGTGATTTTTTTTTTTTTTCATTTAGTACTTTGTTTTGATACCAAAATGAATTTTTCTTAGAATGCCTGCAGTGTTGTCTGCTGAATGTATTATCACTTTAAATAAACTAATGGGTTTGAAGACTTTTAGGATCCTAAATTCTGTCTTTCGACTTAGCATTTAAAAATATGAGTTCATACTACTGTGAATATCCGAGTATGTTTAAATGGGCTAACTTGGATTCTGGAAGAGGTCAGTCCATGGTCATGTGCAGGATGAATCGCAGAGCCAGAAAGCAAGAAAAAATTACCTCTGCCACATCACTGCACTGAATGTGGCATCAGTTAGCTGTACATGTTGTTGCAGTCTTTCACAGATGAACTCAAGCCTTGTTTTCTCATGTCTGAGATATTTACTTATGGTTTGTCTGTGCTGCCTTCAGAGCTACAGCTACAGTCCTGCTAACTTAAATCAACAGTGAATTGCTAGCCAAGAAATGGAAAGTGCTTCAGTCATGGCAACACCAAATTATATTTGGCATAACTGAAAGTGCATTTACCTATCTTCTCCCACACTTCTGTAGCCTGCATTGAACCTGTGCTTGTATGACTGGTAAGGAGTCAGCTTGGCCGATTCCTTCATACATAGATTGTGGAAAAAGTGTATGTGGTTTTGTGTTGGTTTGCTTTGTGGTTTTTTGTTTTGTTGGAGGCAAGGGAGAAGTGTTGTTTGGTGGGGTTTTTTTTCCTGTTAAGAACTTTTTGACAGTATATTCCTTCCTCTGCAGGAAGGGAGATATTGTAAAAAAAAAAAAAATTTCCGTGGTGTTGGGGAGGGATGTTGCTCAAATTGTAGTAATAAGTGTGTTGAGATCTATATCAGGTAAGTGTTAGATACAACATGTTGAATCAGCATGTATCCAAATATCTACAAATTGTAAAGTCTGGTGTTACTATTGTAATTAAAGTGTAAACCACAGTACAAATGCTAGTGAAAATAACCTCTGCTTCATGTAGTCTTTGAACCATGGGAAACTTGTTACAAAATAATTAATATCATCACTGGAGTAGCTGGAATAGGTAGCAATAGTTCAGCATTTGGCCTCATTTTCTAGTAAGCATTTCTGCATAAGGAAGCTGTAGCTTCATACAAGACTTTTTAGAGATAAATTAAAAAAAATAAATTCTGCAATAACTAAATTCCCTGTAACACCTAAGTAACTTGGGCCTGCTTACAGTGCCACCCAGTGGGCACGGAAAGGTCAGTAGTGGTTCTCAGAAAACAGCCCACTAAGGTAAGCTGCAAGGCCTGCCTCCTGTCCTTGCTATAGTTTACTGTTGTGTTTCTGATGCAGTAAACCACCATGTCTGAAAAATGAAATGCCCTATGGAAATGTGTGCAACCTTGTGCTTAGTACTTGTAAACAAAACATTTACTTTGTAGTAGTAGTAATAATTTCCAGTACAGGTTAGGGCTAGGATATGGGCAGCAGGA